GCTAGGATGGCCAGCTCCTTTCCGCCCCGAATTTGACCCCAACATGCTAACGTCAACATTTTAGTATTCACTCACAGCTGAGTTTACCACTAAGCCATGCCACCTCTTATGTATATATACATATATATATATATATATATATATATATATATATATATATATATATATATATATATATATATATATATATATGTATGTATATATATATATATATATATATATATATATATATATATATATATATATATATATATATATATATATATATATATATATGCATATACATATACATATACATATGTATACATATGTAAATATATATGTATAAACATATATATATATATATTTGTGTGTGTGTGTACACATACATACACGTATATATAGACACATAGACTCGTGTGTGTGTGTGTGTGTGTGTGTGTGTGTGTGTGTGTGTGTGTGTGTGTGTATATATATATATATATATATATATATATATATATATATATATATATATATATATATGTATATATATATATATATATATATGTATGTATATATATATATATATGCATATATATATATATATATATATATATATATATATATATATATATATATATATATATATATATATATATATATATATGTATATGATTGTATGGACTAACACACGAACACTCACATAAAATACTCAAACATATGCACACACAAATGTACATACACGTGTCTCAACGATCGTATAAAACACACACGCACTCGCAGGCCTACGACTAATCCCGTACCCCTCTTTCTCCCTCTCCCCTTCCCCCCTTCCCCTCCTTCCCTTCCCTCCTTCCCCCAACCCTACCCCCCCACCCCAGTCTTTCCCTGGTCCTAGTTCTCCACAGGTGTTAACTTTTTTGGAAGACGAACTCAACACCTGTTCAAGGGACCGGTGTCTAGCGGGAGGAACACCTGTTCTTTGACTGACAGGTGGCACGTGTTGGGGGGGGGGGGGGCAGCGAGAGGGCCACTTAATAAGGCTTTGAAGGGAGAGGGAGGGGTGGGGGAAGGAAAGGGAGGGCAGAGTGAGGGGAGAGGGAAAGAAAGTGAGGGAAAGGGAGGGTAGAGTAAGGGGAAAGGGAGTGAAAGTGAGGGAAAGGGAGGAGAGAGGGAGAAAAAGTGAGGGAGAGGGGGGGAAGGAGGAAGGGTGAGAGGAGTGGGAAGAAGAATGAGAGACAAAGTGAGAGTGATAGTGAGGAAGAGAAGAGGGAAGAAAGTGGAAGGGGGATGGAGGGAGAGAAAGTGAGGGAAATGGAGGGAAGGGAGAACGAGGCAGAGAATGAGGGAGAGAGAAACAGGGAGAGAAAAGCAAAAGACAGAGGGAGACAGAATGAAGAGATGGGAAAAAATAATAATTGAGAGAAAGAAAATGGGGTGAATAGAGGGGAAAAACTGAGGAAAGAAAAGAAAGGTAGAAAGAAGAGAGAATGAAAGAGATAAAGAGAGAAACACAACTTGAAGGTATGACTGGATATCACACGTAAACACATACAGTTACATATATACTTACGTACACAAACACGCACATATAGAGATAGATTAATAGACAGATAGATTTACAGATTGATAGATACAGATATAGACAGACAGACAGATAGGCAGCTAGATAGATATAGGGATAAACAAATAGATAGAAAAATATAAACAGACAGATAGATTGATAGATAATGTACTGTAAATATGATCCATATAAACACGCTTTTTTTTCTTTTGCTTTTTTTTTTTTGATATAATTGAATTATTACCAAACCTTACACTGGAATGCTGATCCGATCTCCATAAGCATGCGGGTTTCACTGATGTAATAGTGGAAACATTTCTGAATTGTATACACATGTTTGTGTGTTGAGGGTCTTCATTGAAATGGATTGTGTGACAGAGAGATTTATAGATAAACAGAGAGGGTAGAAATCGAAGAAAGAGAGAAAGAGAGAAGGGGAGAGAGTGGGAGATGATATAGATATAATATATATATATATATATATATATATATATATATATATATATATATATATATATATATATATATATATATATATATATATATATATACATATATATATATATATATATATATATATATATATATATATATATATATATATATATATACGTATATATGAAATCTTTTCGTTCGTAATAGTAATAATGATATTTTTGGCAGCATTTTTTCGTCAGCCTCAGCCCCCCCCCCCCCTAGTAGCCGCCCTCAGGTCATTTACTCTAAGTGATCCTGTTGTTGCTTGCAGCCTGTTTGCTCTGTTATCCTGTCTTAATGTCCCGTAGTTACCTCGTTTGTTGTTGTTGTTGTTGTTGTTGTTTTTTTGGGGGGAGGGGAAGGGGTATATTACGTATGTTTAGTATGGTGTTCATATAACTAATGCGTGAACACCACACTATGGATCTTTATTTTTTTCCAAGAAAGAGTTTCTCTATTCAAAAGTGTGCTCTGTTTTAGTTCTTTAGTCTGTCAAACGCACTTAGAAGGACTCTCATCACTAAAATTAATGGAGTAGAAACATCCACAGCAAAAACAAACACTAATATTGTTGTTTATTTTCATTCCTTGTTCTTTTACGTAAGTTACTGTTTTTGCGTTCCTATTTGTTTAGTAATTTTTTTTTGTTTTTGTTTTTGTTTTTTGTTTGTTTGTTTTTTTGTAAGATTTTGTAAGATTCAGTGTCTTTTGTAGAGGAAGCTTTAGGGAAACACTTAAGGGAACCTGGTCTTCGTGATGTAGTAATGTGAGCGGCAGATATTTTAGGATAAAGTTAATTACAAGTTTTTAAGTTTAGCTTGTTTTTGTTTTTGTTTTTCTTTTCCTTTTTGTAATTAAAAGGATGGGCAGAAAATATAGTTAGTAATAATCTGAACTATGGCGTTGGTAATAGGGATGTTACTAATGATAATGATGATGATGATATAATGTTCGTAGCGATAACTGTAATGATGATGACGATGATTATGATGACGATAATGATGATGTTGATGGTGATAATGATGATAATGATGTTGATGATGATAATGATAATGATAATGATAATGATAATGATAATGATAATGATAATAATGATAATATGAATAAACAAACAAAAAAACGCCAAAATGAACAATCTGTACAGAAAACCATTACAGTTCCATCCTTGTCAAAGCGCTGATCTCACCTCCATCGAGTCGCTGAGGAGTAGCGTAGTCGAAACAACATTACCCTTTTCTGCCTCATCACCCCACACGTCACTCCAGCCATGACGTCAAACACAGTATCAGCATATCAAGAGTGTTTTGTTTGTAGTGACGTCACAGGATGCGCGTCAAAGCCAATGAATGCCATGTATGCAGTAGACATGACGCCACAGAAGAAAGCTCTGACGTGTGCTTCAGCCAATAAGGATGCTTGTCGAGGAAACTATGACGTCATCCGCGGGGAGATCAACCAATAGGGAATTTCCAAAGGGAAAACGTGACGTCATGATCGGAAGCTCAGCCAATAGAGACGCGTCTAAGAGAAAGATTAAGTCATGCAGATTAAATGTCGCCAAAGTTTACAGATTTTGACGCCAAGTATCTACCGGAAAGACACGATCTTGCATCAGGAGTGTTTATAAATAGTCTGTCAGCGAGAATGTGCGCTACCTTGTGCAATATGTCTTGGCAACATAAGGTGCAACGGTATGCATCATTAGCTTAGTTGGTGGTTTGTTTGTGTTATTGTGATTGTATTTGTCTGGTGTTTGTTTGTTTCTGTGTGTGTGTGAGAGAGAGAGAGAGAGAGAGAGAGAGAGAGAGAGATAGATAGAGAGAGAGAGAGAGAGAGAGATAGATAGAGAGAGAGAGAGATAGATAGAGAGAGAGAGAGAGAGAGAGAGAGAGAGAGAGGAAGGAGAGAGAAGAGAGAGAGAGAGAGAGAGAGAGAGAGAGAGAGAGAGAGAGAGAGAGAGAGAGGAAGATAGAGGAAGAGAGGAAGAGAGAGAGAAACAGAGGAAGAGAGATAAAGAAAAAGACAGACAGACAGACATTCAAACAAACAATCAAACAGACAGTCAGACAGTAAGACAGAAGGAATGGTATGGCACGACTTCAAAGGAAGAGGGCCAAGAGTGCCACTAACCCCCCCCCCCCCCCGCGCCCCAGTTGACGTGTACCCGGGGTTATGCAATCTATCAGCCCGATCCTGGCAAGCGCCACCTGGAGGTACATATCATGTGAAATAAGAGACAAAACGAAAATAGCTGAAAAAGAAAGAAAGAAAGAAAAAAAATAACAGAACGAAAATAGCTGAAAAAGAAGAATAAAAGAGAAAACAGCAAAGAAATACGGGAAGAACGAAATAAAAGAAAAAAATCAACAACAGCAAAGAAATACGGGAAGAACGAAAGAAAGAAAGAAAACAACAGCAAAGAAATACGGGAAGAACGAAAGAAAGAAAGAAAGAGTAAACTTAAGAAGGACGGGAGGAACGTAATAAAGAAAGAAAGAAAAAGGAGAGAGCAAAAGAAAGAAAGAAAAAAGAAAAGAAATACGGGAAGAACGAAAGAAAGAAACGGGAAGGGAGGAACGTAATAAAGAAAGAAAGAAAAGAGAGAAACCAAAGAAAGAAAGAAAAGAGAAAAACCAAAGAAAGAAAGAAAAAGAGAAACCAAAGAAAGAAAGAAAAAAGAGAAACCAAAGAAAGAAAAAAGAGAAAGAAAGAAAAAAAGAAAACAAATAAAGTAGCGAAGGAACGAACGAACAAATAAATGAAAAAAAAAATAAAAGAAAGTAAGAAATAAAGGGAGAAAACAGTCCGAAAGATAAGAACAGACAACGACCAAACCCGTCCTCAAGTTTCATAAAGGATTCTGACAGAGATAAAATAGCAGCAGTTGGCAGAAGGAAGAGTTAATAAAAGACGAAAAAAAAAAGAAAAAAAAAGGAAAAAAAAAGAAAAGAAAATAAAAAATTAAGAAATAGAAAAAAAAAATTATATATATTTTTTCTTAAATGGCTAGAGACGTTACTATAGGAGCCCAGATGAAGAAATTAAAGGGGTCTGAGAAGAGCTTAAGGGAG